AGATATGAACATGAAAATGGGTAGTTCAGCTATGGGTATCCACCTACGGGACCGCCTCCTGCCACATACCTCCCAACGACCCATAAGATCTCACAGGCTGGGCCTCCTCCGGGTGCCGTCGACTGGGCAATGCCGGTTGGCGACTACTCGGGGGAGGTCTTTCTCTGTAGCTGCCCCGGCCCTGTGGAACGATCTCCCCACAGTGTGAGTCTGTGTGTGGGTGCGCGTGGCAGTGGTGGGTTTCAAATTTCTGGAACCCCTTCTGTAGGTGTGGCCTGCTTTCCGGGGGTCCACTGGTGGAACCTCTTCTAACCGGTTCGGAAGATTTGACGAACCGGTTCTACCGAACTGGTGCGAACCGGTAGGAACCCACCTCTGCCCCTTTCCCTTCCGCAGCTGAACGTGGCCGTCAAGTGCCTGAAGACGGAGGTGCTGAACCAGCCGGAGGCCCTGGACGACTTCATCCGCGAGGTCAACGCCATGCATTCCCTCGACCACGCCAACCTCATCCGCCTCTACGGGGTGGTCCTCTCCAACCCCATGAAGATGGTGAGGGACCCGCGGGGACTCCAAAAGAGGCCCGGGGGAACGGCGCCCCGCGTGGGGCTCCGGGGGTTTGCAGGGTCATCAGCAGACGGGACAATGCTCGTTCTTCACTCATCCGTGCAGTCTGATCTTGGTAGGGATAGTCCTCGACATAACGACCGTAAGTCATGGGCTTAAGATGGTTGTTAAGCGAGGCACGGTGTGATTGCACCTCCTTTTGCAACCTTTTGTGACAGTCGCTAAGTGAACCAGAGGTCATTAAGCGTGTCACAGCAATCGTTAAGCATAGCCAACAGTCATTAAGCAAATCCAGGCTCTCGTTAAGCATAGCCAGAAGTCGTTAAGCGAGTCCCGGCAGTCATTAAGCATACCCAGCAGTCGTTAAGCAAGCCTCAGCAGTAGTTAAGCATACCCAGCAGTCATTAAGCGAGTCGTGACAGTCGTTCAGCACACCCAGTGGTCGTTAAGCGAGTTCCAGCAGTCTGTAAGCATACCCAGTGGTCGTTAAGTGAGTCCCGGCAGTCGTTAAGCAAGTCCTGGCAGTTATTAAGCATAACTGGGAGTCATTTAGTGAGTCCTGGAAGTCATTCAGCATACCAGCGGTCATTAAGCGAGTCCCGGCAATCATTAAGCATACCCAGCAGTCGTTAAGCAAGCCTCAGCAGTAGTTAAGCATACCCAGCAGTCATTAAGCGAGTCCTGGCAGTCGTTCAGCACACCCAGCGGTCGTTAAGCGAGTTTCAGCAGTAGTTAAGCATACCAGTGGTCGTTAAGTGAGTTCCAGCAGTCTGTAAGCATACCCAGTGGTCGTTAAGTGAGTCCCAGTAGTCTTTAAGTGAGTCCCAGCAGTCGTTAAGCAAGTCTTGGCAGTTATTAAGCATAACTGGCAGTCATTTAGTGAGTCCTGGAAGTCATTCAGCATACCAGTGGTCATTAAGCAAGTCCTGGCAGTCATTAAGCATAACCGGCAGTCATTAAGCGAGTCATGGCAGTCGTTCAGCATATCCAGCAGTCATTAAACGAGTCCCTGCAGTTGTTCATACCCAGAAGTTGTTAAGCGAGTCTCAGCAGTCGTTAAGCATACCCAGCAATAATTAAGCATACCCAGCAGCCATTAAGCGAGTCGTTAAACCTGCCTGTAATGGCGACACCCACACGGTTTGTCTTGTGGGCGTGGCTTCTTGTGCCTGGGGGTGGCTTCCTAACCCCGCTTCTTGTGGCCGCCCAGGTGACCGAACTGGCCCCACTGGGCTCCCTGCTGGACCGCCTGCGGAAGAACCTGAGCCACTTCCTGATCGCCACCCTCTGCCACTATGCCATCCAGATCGCCCGCGGGATGGCCTACTTGGAGTCCAAGCGCTTCATCCACCGCGATCTGGCCGCCCGCAACATCCTGCTGGCGGCCAACGACCTGGTCAAGATCGGCGACTTCGGCCTCATGCGGGCCCTGCCCAAAAACAACGACCACTACATTATGCAGGAGCACCGCAAGGTCCCTTTCGCCTGGTGAGCCTCCCCTCCCCTCCCCCCTTGCCCAGGACAGCGGGCTGCATTTGCACAACACCCGCCCGCTGTGATCCTCCTGTCGTTGCTATGACGGGCCCTGCGTCCCCTCGGAGCTTGCCCGTTTTCTTAAAGGCGTTTCGATAACTATCTAGGTAAGGTCATCGGTGCTAGAAGGGAGTGGGATGGGGAGGAAGGAGGGAGAAGGAGAGGAGGACTGCGGAGGACTTGTGCCTTAACCACTAGAGTAGCGGTGGGGAACCTTTTCAGTACCCGAGTGCCGAAAAGATCGTACGGAAGTGTCGCATACTCGTCGGAGCCGCACTCCGGAAAAGCCGAACTTCCGGGTTCCAGCACTCAACGCGCGCCCGACGGTCAGCTGGCTGGCACACATATGCAGGCTGCCACGCGTGCAAAGGAAAAGCCAAACTTACAGGGTTTGGTGTGCATACGCACACCGTTTTACGGCACTGCCGCCTGCGTGAAGGACAGCTGATTGTCATGCGTGCATGGAAGACAAACGGACAAGGCTGCATGTGCCGGGTGACACGGCTCGGCATGCCGCTCTGGGCGTGCGTGCCATGGGTTGGCCATCCCGGCACTGAGCATGCATCCCTGACTCTTTCACTGAGCAGGTGAAGCGTTGAGGACTCGCTCACAGGTTGATGGGGATCAGAGGACCCCATTCTTTTTGGACGGTGGGAGTGAGTTATGGGACCGGTGGGTCTGGGCCTTGGGATGGCGAGGGCATGACCCCCTCTCTTTCTGCTTTCTCTCCCCCACCTGGGGTTCCCCACCCCCACCCCGCCCTGGATCAGGTGCGCCCCGGAAAGTCTGAAGACGCGCACCTTCTCCCACGCCAGCGACACCTGGATGTTCGGAGTGACTCTCTGGGAAATGTTCACCTACGGGCAGGAACCATGGGTTGGCCTTAACGGCAGCCAGGTATGACGGGGAAAGGCGCGGTGCGTCTGTGCAGACAGTCATCGAGTTACGACCACAGCGGACCCCAAAATGTCTGTCTCTCCTAAGCGAGGCAAATTGAGTTGAGTTCTGCCCGCCCCCAATTTTATGACTTTTCTTGCCATCGTTGTTAAGTGGATCGCTGCAGTTATTAAGATAGTAATTCGGTCATTCAGGGAATCCAGCTTCCCCCTTTGATTTCACTCCCCCGAAGGTTGCAAATTTATGACCCTGCGATGGTCATAAATGTGAGTACGTTACTTAGCGGCTGAATTTTTATTGCCAGAAGTCCTCAACTTATGACCTTAATCGAGCCCAACATTACTACTGTTAAGCGAGAGGGTTGTTAAGTGAGTTTTGCCCGATTTTAGGAGCTTCCTGGCCACTGTTGTTAAATGAATTGCCGCAGTTGATAAATTAGTAACCCGGTTGTTAAGTGAATCGGGCTTCCTCACTGGTCAGAAGGTCACAAAAGGGATCACCTGACCCCGGGACACTGCAACCGTCATAAGTATTATGAGCCAGATGCCAAGCATTTGAATTTTGATTGCGTGACCTTGCGGATGTGGCAATGGTCGTAACTATGAAACATGGTCATAAGGCACTTATTTTGGTGGCCGTTGTAACTTCGGTCATTAAACGAACTGTTGTAAGTCGAGGACTCCCTCTCCTTGATCACGGGGAGACTGTATAAGTTCCTTCTTTTCCCTGCCTTTGTAATTTGGAATGGTCGTTAAACAAACGTTTGTAAGCCGAGGACAATCTGTAACGCTTCTGAGGCTGGATCTGGCAACTTTCCAACCTTGACAACCGACTGGCTCCCCTAAATCCTGCTTTTCTCCCAATAAGATCCTGCACAAGATCGATAAGGAAGGCGAGCAACTCGCCCGACCCGAAGATTGTCCGCAGGATATTTACAACGTCATGTTGCAGTGTTGGGCGCACAAACCGGAAGATCGGCCCACCTTTGTGGCTCTGCGGGATTTCCTCCTGGAGGTAAGCGGTAAAGACCTGGTCACCATCGCCCACGCTCAGATCGCGTCCCGTCTTAACTACTGCCATGCCCTCCGTGTGGGGCGGCCCTTGAAAGCTATCCAAAACCTTTTGCCCGGGTTCCAATGGATGCCCTAATTAAATCATGAGCCTTGAGCCAAGCGTCAAAAGAAATCCAGTTATGTATTAGGAGCAACATGTCCGCAGGTCCCCAACTGAAGGCGGCTCTGACCTCACGCAATTTACGGCCCAACTCTGACCACATTTCCCCACCTCCCCGTGGGGTGTGTCATAAATCCCTTTCCCCAACAAAGCACTTTTCACACGCTGTAGAGATCACGCCCCTCCGCCTGTTTCGGGTAACCTGGGATACAGCCTTGAGAAAAGTATGCCTGGAATGTGCTTCTGGTTGTGGCCGCTGTGCTGATGCTGCTCCGTCTGTTTGACCCCCCTCTTGACTATGGCAACTCGAGAGCAGGCCAGGAATGCTTTGCTAGTTGACACCTTTCATGGGTTCAAAATGCAGCAGCCTGCGTACTCGACTTAACGACCACAACTGAGGCCAAAGTTTCTGTTGCTGAATGAGACATTTAAGTGCGTTTTTGCCCCCATTTTACGACTTTTCCCTGCCACAGTTGTTAAGTGAATCCCTGGAGCTTTTCAAGAAAGAAAATTGTCTGAAACGGCATAGAGTCTGCTGCTCGAGCAGAGGGTTGGACTAGAAGACCTCTAAGGTCCCTTCCGGCTCTATCCTGATTCTGACTAGTTGTTAAGCAAGTAACACGGCCGTTAAGCGAATCTGGCTTCCCCACTGACTTTGCACGTCAGAAGGTCGCAAAAGGGGAATCGCGTGATACCTCTCCCCTCCCGGACACTGCCACCGTCATAAATACGAGTCACTTGCCAAGCGTCTGACCATAGGGACGTTGCGACGGTTATAAGTGTGGAGAGGTGGAGAGAAGGGTGAAAAAGTGACCTTTTTCAGTGCCTTTGTTTAGTCTGACTGGTTGTCGAATGGTCGCTAAGCGAACCTGTTGGACGTCGAAGAATACCCGTAATTTGGTTCAGAGGTGACACCTGTCAATCTTCACTTTCTCTCCCAGGCTCAACCCACAGATATGAGGGCTCTGCAGGATTTCGAAGAACCGGACAAACTTTTGATCCAGATGAACGATATAATTACAGTCATCGAAGGAAGGTATTCCTTATCATTTTATCTTTCCTCCCGCCTTTGTTACTTGCACTCACAGCTCAACGTACCAGACGTTATTTATGCTGCTTCCTCTTCCTCTTTCCCCATAACAACAGCCCTGTGAGGTTGGACGGGCTGAGAAAGGCAAACTGGCCTAAACTCTCCCGGGGTTCTGAACCGAGGCTTCCCAAGATCACCAAGCCGACTCCTCGTCCCGATAAAACCCCTTTTTTATTTAGTTTTAAATTCCTCTCCAACAAAGTCCCGGCCGACAGTCTTTCGTGCGATTTCACAACTACAGACCTTATCAGGCTTGGAGAGCTGCCAGGCCGATATCTTCTAAACGCCATGCTGTAGCAGCAATTCCTTGGCNGAAACGTCTGCAAGAAAACCACCAAGCTCAGAGAGCACCAAGGACCCCACAGTCCTCCTCCTCTTCCTCCTCTCTTTCTTTCAATCCTCTCCTTCTCTTTTCCTTCTCCTCTTCCTTCTCCTTGTACTCTCCTCCTCCTCCTCTATTCTTCCTCCTCCTCCCTTCATTCACTACCACCATTCTTTTTCCTCTTCCTCTTCCCCCCTCTATCCCTTCCCAATGCCCTTGTTTTACAGGCAGCCTGGTCGGATGAGGGACCCCCAACTCATAAGAAGGGGGGCTGGTGGGGGCGAAGGGCCCGTTGTACTAATGGTTTCCAAAAGTATGAGATTCCTACTGCTACATTTCCTGGGTGCCTAGATGGACCAGGGCAGTAGACCCCAAAATGTACGTTGCTAAGTGAGACACTTGTTTAAGTGAGCCTTGCCCCCATTGTACGACCTTTCTTGCCCCCGTTGTTAAGTGAGTCGCTGCAGTTGTTAAGTCGGTAACAAGGTTGTTAAGTGAGTCCGGCTTCCCCGTTGACTCGGCTTGTCGGAAGGTGGCGAAAGGGGCATCGCGTGACCCCCGGGACACTGCAACCGTCATAAGTATGAGTCAGTTGCCAAGCGTCTGAATTTCAGTCGCGTGACTATGTGGGAATGCTGCGACGGTCGTAAGTGTGAAAAGCAGTCTTAAGTCTCTTTTTTCAGCACTTCTAACCTTGTAAGACGAAGACTTACATTCCAGAGCGTAATAATTCTTGCCTTCAAATAACATTTGATCCCTGTATCCAGTGGCCTTCCTTCCTTCCCTAAGGGTTCATAAGACAACAGAGAGGGAGTTTTAAAACAAATTTTAATTGTTAACTTCAGGAAAACTCAGATCTTTCTTTTTAATTATGGCTAGATGGCAGATTAATAGAGTTGGAAGGGACCTTGGAGGTCATCTAGTCCAACCCCCTGCCTGAGCAGGAAGACCCTACACCATTTCTGACAGGTGGCAGCCCAGCTTCTTCTTCAAAGCATCCTGGGATGAAGCTCCCACAACTTCCGAAGGCAACTTCTGTTCCATCGAACATGGAATAACAGAGTTGGAAGGGACCTTGGAGGTCATCTAGTCCTACCCCTCGCCCAAGCAGGAGACCCTACACTGATGGCAGTCCAGTCTCTTCTTGGAAGCCTCCAGGGATGAAGCTCCCACAACTTCCGAAGCCAACTTCTCTTCCATTGAATATAGAATAACAGAGTTGGAAGGGACCTTAGAGGTCATCTAGTCCAACCCCTTGCCCAAGCAGGAGACCCTACACTGATGGCAGTCCAGTCTCTTCTTGACAGCCTCCAGGGATGAAGCTCCCACAACTTCCGAAGGCAACTTCTGTTCCATCGAATATGGAATAACAGAGTTGGAAGGGACCTTGTAGGTCATCTAGTCTGACCCCCTGGAGACCCTACACCATTTCTGACAGGTGGCAGCCCAGCTTCTTCTTCAAAGCCTCCTGGGATGAAGCTCCCACAACTTCCGAAGGCAACTTCTGTTCCATCGAACATGGAATAATAGAGTTGGAAGGGACCTTGGAGGTCATCTAGTCTGTCCCCCTGCCTAAGCAGGAGATCCTACACCATTTCTGACAGGTGGCAGCCCAGCTTCTTCTTCAAAGCCTCCTGGGATGAAGCTCCCACAACTTCCGAAGGCAACTTCTGTTCCATCGAACATGGAATAATAGAGTTGGAAGGGACCTTGGAGGTCATCTAGTCTGTCCCCCTGCCTAAGCAGGAGATCCTACACCATTTCTGACAGGTGGCAGCCCAGCTTCTTCTTCAAAGCCTCCTGGGATGAAGCTCCCACAACTTCCGAAGGCAACTTCTGTTCCATCGAACATGGAATAATAGAGTTGGAAGGGACCTTGGAGGTCATCTAGTCTGTCCCCCTGCCTAAGCAGGAGATCCTACACCATTTCTGACAGGTGGCAGTCCAGAATCTTCCGGAAAGCCTCCAGTGATGAAGCTCCCACAACTTCCGAA